CTCAACAGATTGCATAGCCCTAGTTTAGTGAGATGAAACTCAAATGGCATCTCGCCCATCTCAACGAAGAGAGCAACCACAGGGGTAGACCGACACGCCCTGCTACACAACTGCAAGGCAGCTGTCTGCAGCTCATCAAGCAGTTTCAGGGTGGTGGGCCCATACATAAGACGATGGATCCATACATAAGACGCGCATAGTCCAAGGACGATCTAATCATGCCCCGATACACCTGCATCAAGGTGTCCCTGGATGCCTCCCAATCAGTACCAGCCAGACAATGCAAGGCATTCAGCACACGACCACATCTGGCTACCAAATAGTGCACATGCTTCTCCCACGTGTGATTGTCATCCAAGTCCAGGCCTGAATACCTATAGGACGACACTCGCTCCACCATTTGTAGGGCTTTTCTTTGTTAAGTAATGCCCTTATATGTCTGCTGGACACCTCTTAAATGAATCATTAGACTCACCTGTGGTTGAACGCCTGTCAAATAGAATTTTGTAGTCTTAACAGGCTTTTCTCCTAAGACTATGGCTGTGTTCGAGATGAGCCAGTTCTGCGCAGATTAGATCACCGGTGATCGGCAAGCAGTGCATGCCGGTTAGATTTGTGTCCGACTTGACGCCGACTTGCTCTGACGTCACGCCTACGTAGGCAACGATAACCTCGTGAGATCAAGGTGGCCGCAGATTTTGGAGCAAGGCGCTGCAGTTGCTCTCCCTCGGCTGCAAAACCTAGGGGATGACAGGAAACGCCTGGCTCTCACCTGATCTAAGATCTGATTGGTTCATATTTTGATTCAAACATCCGGTGGTAGAACATGAAATGTTAGTTGGTCACATGTATTCTGATGATGACAACTATATAGGCCATGAATAGAAATGTGTTTTGTGTTCTTTTGTCATGTTTCCTATGAGCACACTAAACCTACAGCTGATAACCTTTACTTATTACAGTCATGTCTTCATATACAATATATGATATCCAGAAGCACGTGAGGATGTGTTTCAGCTGCTAACAGGCACCAGAATTATAAATAGAAAATTAAACAAGTGTGAACGCTAACACGATATCTTCAGCCATCGTCACCCCCGAGCTACACATGCAGGAAATTGTGTCCGACTTAAACGCCGGCTTTCAGCCACTCCCCCTGCTGCTTCCGTCTGCTCTCATCTGTTTTCCAGGCGAGGCGCAGCTCAACTCGAACACGGCCTGTAATTTTTGCAACATGGGCTTGAATGGATTTGTTAGAAAAATCACTTTTTGTGTTTGCAAATGAACAAATCTTAATTGCAATTGATGGCCCACATGTGGGAGTATTTTTACCAAAGCACAAAAGAGGACTCAAATGCAGAGCTCACACTGTTTAATAAGCTGAAGGGATTCCTGGCCATACAGCACAACTGAACAAGTCCAAAACTAACTAAATACACTCTCACAAAGTGTTACTGAGAGCAGGTTCACTTTACTCAGCTGGAGAAGACAAAGTGGCAAAGGAATCTGTTTGCAAAGAAGCATAAATGGAGAAGCCAGGGCACAGGTGCAAGACATAAGAAGGATTAGTGAGGAGCCTCAGGTCGTGAAGCTGCCTGTAATGAGACAGGAAGTGAGTACACAAAATAAAACAGGAAGTACCAGAAATACAATAAAACCAGAAACATGACTGCAAAGCACTCAGCCTACAGAACCGCCCATGACAATTTTGTAGTATGGTATCTCATAAATGTTGATTCTGAAAGGAAACTAAGGTTTTTTGTTTTAAGGACAAATGTTGTGAGGTGTACTCATTTATGCTGAGCACTGTACAGAGTTAAATTAACCCTTTAAAGTGTAATAGTTTACTCTGTAAGTGTTATAAAACCACAGTGAAAATTTGTGTAACACACTTCAGTGTTAACTTTAACACTAATTTGAGTAAAATCAATGCTAAAAATGTAACTGGCTAAAGAGTACATTTTACTCTTTTTTTGAGTGGGACCAAATGTTATCTGAAACCGAGTTAAAGTCAACTCTCTTAGAGTTGAATTTACACTGAATTTTATACTGTGATTTTAGTGCACTTTAAACTTTTTGCAAAATCACAAACAAAAAAATAACCCAACAATAAATAAATAAATTAAAAACTTGAACAATGGCAAGCCTCAAAAACCACAGAAACAGCGTTAGACAGGCTTTGTCTACAGATTAATTATGATGTTCTGTTAAAAGATGTCACATTAATTATTTTATTATGAAACACATTTTGGAACTATCACATCTATTTTTGATCTCTTTGATATGGCTGCAGGGGAAGAGTGTGTTAGTGTCTTTTTGAAAATGAACTCTTTGAGTAGAGTTCATGCTTGAATGTGGAAATGTGGTTGGTTTTGAAAGATACGGCACAAAGGTGATCACTTAACCAGTTTGTCAAGTTTCATGTAAATCCCAATTTATCTCCATTGGGGACAAGAGGAAACGTAGCCTGTTTCACACACACACACACACACACACACACACACACACACACACACACACACACACACACACACACACACACACACACACACACACACACACACACACACACACACACACACACACAAGGCTGATAAAGGCTGCTATAAGACACCTTGATATTATATTTCTGTGTCAAAGCTCATTATTGAGGTTGCAAGCATTATTTTTGTGCTCTCTTTGTTCTTTGCAGATGCAGGTGAAACGTAACCTTTTCCCAGAATCGGCTTTGAATCATTGAAGCAGAGGAGGAAGCAGAAATTAATTAAAAAGGGATGTTGTAAAAATTAAGATCTCTGGTAACACTTTACAATAGGGGTCTTTTTATTAATATTACTAATTATTGTGTAATTATTGTACTTTTTGTAAAGTGTTACCGGGAATATCTTTATAAAAATCAGACATCTGTTTGAGTCAAAAGAAAAGTCACATGAAGCTTTAAATGTGGAAAGAGTTTAACCTTTTGACTTGCAGTTAAACAACACATTTTGTACTCATCAAACATGAACTCAGCTTAACCGAGAAATAAATAAATAAAAATAAATCTTTAAAATACTGCGATCCTTGAGTAAAAAGCTAGACCTTAATAATTATGTTTATGATTGTTTATATTATTAAATTAGAATGATCAACATTTAAAAATAAAATTGTAAGTGTAAGGCTGACAATCCATGACAAGCACAGAAGTCCAAACACAAAATACTGCTCAAATTCAGATCAGGGGGGCCATTCCTCCCCACCACACCTCTCCAGGTCTCACTTGTTCCCCACGTGAGCGTAAAAGTCCCCCAGCATGACGAGGGAGTCACCGGAAGGAGCGCTCTCCAGCACCTCCTCCCAAAACTCCAGAAAGAGCTTTTTCCTTTGGTGGTCCTAAACTGTGGAATGAACTCCCAGTCACAGACAGGCATCCCCCTTGGAGGATTTTAAGTCTAGACTAAAGACACACTATACCCTTGCATTTAACAGTTAGCTGCTGAATGGGCTTTTTTACTTTACTATATTTGGAGGACATGTTTCCATTTGTTTTATTGGAAATTCTTATTTTAGTTTTGGCTTGTTTTATTGTATTCTTGGTTGCATTTTTTACTGTTTCATGTGTTATATTTTTAGTATTGTCTGGCTGTTCAGCACTTTGGTCAGCCGTATGGCTGTGTTTTTAAAGCGCTATACAAAAAAGATGATGATGATGATGATGATGATGATGATGATGATGATGATGATGATGATGATGAAAAAGGGTGGGTAGTCTGAACTGTAGTTTGGTGAAAAAGCACAGACAACAGTCAGGACCGGTCCCCCTACACGTAGGCAGAAGGAGGCTAACCTCTTGTTCACTGGGGTAAACTCCAACATACAGGCACCAAGATGGGGGGCAACTAGTGTTCCTCTCAGTGGGGGCAGCTCCAGAGTGGTAGAGTGTCCAGCTCCTCTAAACGAAACTGGTTCGGGAGCCAGAGTCATGTGTCGAGGTGAGTCCAACAAATCTAGTCGTAACCTCTCAACCCGCACACCAACTTAGGCTCCTTCCCCACTAGAGAGCAGTGGTGCCCCCAAGGGGTGGCTATGGCAACCCCTAGAAAATTGCTGGCCACCCCACTGGCTTATTTTCAAAAATGTTTGTGTTTCTAAAATTTTATGTGTGTTGGACACATATTATTATTTTTTTATGAAAACGAATAAAGGAGCATTTATTGCATCACCACAGACTAAACATTCCCAGAAATATCATGAGGATCAATTTGGTGTGCCACCCCAAAACTTTCTGTGGCCCCATGGCCACCCCATGAAGCTTTTCTGGAGGCACCACTGCCAGACAGATGACGTTCCACATACGAAGAGCAAGCTTCTGTACTCAAGGATCAGACCTTCAAGGTCCCCACCATCAGCTACCACCCATCACACATTACACCCGACCCCTTTGGCCCCTCCCACGAGTGGTGAGCCCATAGGAAGAGGGATCCATGTTTCCTCTTCGAGCTGTGCATGACTGGGCTCCATGGGTAAAAGCCTGACCACCAGGCGCTCGCCACTGTGCCCCACTTCTAGGCCTGGCTCCAGAGGGGGGCCCTGGTGACCCGCGTCTGGGCAAGGGAACACTGTTCATCATAAGGGGTCTTTGGGCTGCTCTTTGTCTGATCCCTCACCTAGGACCTGTTTGGGTGACCCTACCAGAGGAATAAAGCCCCAGATAACTTAGCTTCTAGGACCACTGGGACACTCAAACCCCTCCACCATGGTAAGGTGGCAGCCCAGGGAGGGGGTCCCACCTTTTAAAGATGTATTATTAAAATAAAACATGTTAAAACAGTCATTTATTTTATTTATCTGACCATAAACCATCATTTTGTAAAGGAAGCACGCAGATAACAAACATGTTAACAGTACTAATTTATTAAAAAGCTGCCTCTTTACTCATAAGAGCCTTTCCACAACAGGGGGTGCATATTTCGGCACAACACCGGCCCTGCATCCGGGTGAGCGCAGTGCGCAGACTCAGTATCCGCTGCAGTTCACTGCGTTTCCGTAGCCAGCTCGCTACCCGCTGAGCGCTGGCTGGTGAGGCAGCTCGCGGAAACGATTGATCCCGAGCGAATAACGTTAAAGCTATCGCTTAAATGGCGGATTGACACTGAAACCGGAAAAGACTTGCTACATCAATGTTCGTTACGGGGTTGCTTTTGGAGAGTGCGCTGGCAACACCCTCCATCACGTGTGGGATGTATTCAGAAAGGCTTTAACTGTGCGTTTATTTCGGCTAAACCAGCTAGCAGCTACCCATTCAATCCAATTAATGGTAGCTCGCTCGATTGTTTCTTGTTTCCCAACCCTCAAGCGTCGCGTCTGTAACGGAGGAAAATGAAGAAGTTTAACATTAGGAAGGTGCTGGACGGCTTGACAGCGGCGTCCTCCTCCTCCTCCGCAACTGCTCAGCCGGGTACTCCCAGGGAAAACGACGTGGTCCTGGAGACTCTCCAGTCGGAGCACTTCCAGCTTTGTAAGGTATGTCCCCGTGAACGGGAAAACACTGACGGGCTGTGTCAGATGACATCTGCGTGACCAAACCTGAAGGCTGTTGTCATCTGTATCAGCACGGCTCAGTGGCTGGGAAATGAGCGCGAGCTCAGTCAGCACAAAAACATCAGGTTTTAGGTGTTTTGACATTGATGGGGATCCGTTTTTTAGATCAAATCGGTTTTTACAGCACAAATAATACAACATTCAATTAATCTGCATGTTGTATGACATTTAGTTTATTACTATTTTAACAAAACCTAACATTTTTAGTGTTTTCTGATTATCTGGATGCATTTCAGTTGCAGACTGTGTGATATATATTTTACACTAAACACACTTTGACTGGATTAACTTCCCCCCATGCATTCTTACAATAGAGCCTGCATGGCTTTCACGTTGAAGTGCACTGGGATGTCCTCAGGGCCTACTCTCTATAAAGACTCATGCTCATCTTCACAACTCAACTTGCAAGATTCCCATGATCTGAAGTGGTTCTGCTGAAATGCGAGCCAGACCACTGGCCACTGGGAGCAGAGCAGGTCAGCTCCCCAGGTTACAGGCCGCTGTGGCATCACCTGTTACGTAATCCCGCTGCACAGATGTCACGGATGGCTGAGCAAGGTTTTCATCCTGAAACAATCAAGTTATAGATACTTGATGATGAGAACGTTTTGATGGCACGCACAACATGACGGGCACTTTCTAGAAACTAATGTTTATGTTGTGTTTGTTCGGCCGACCTGTTTTCCATATTGATTGATTGCGTTTCTTCAGCATCATAACTTTTCTCCCACAAATGCCAGCTTGATTCAGTAGAAGATGGATTACCTGACTGGACGTCTGACTATAAATTGTGCTGTCTCCTGCAGACTGTGCGTCATGGCTTTCCATATCAACCATCCTCAATGGCTTTTGACCCCGTACAGAAAATCTTGGCTATCGGGACTCAGACCGGAGCCTTGAGACTGTATCCTTTTTCTCTTGCATGCAAAAATCATGGAAAGCAAAGCTTCAGTAACTCATATGATACATTTTTATATCATTGCACCTTTTATGACCATACGGACACAACAGCAACAAAAACACCAGAGGAATGTCAAGTCACAGATTCACAGAGTGGGAATAACCCCAAGAAAGGGATTTGTTTTGCCTTCTGTCATTCTGTGTTATGGAAGAAACTGAAGGATGCCAGTAGGCACATGTAAGCTTGTGTTACTTTGCAGCCAGCAGCTCCCATCTCCTGGAGCACCCAGGCTCATTAGTGGTATCTCTGCAGCTGCATGAGCCCCTCCACCATATGTTGAGTTGCCAACCTCCTCAACTGTGCTGCCCGTTCGGTGCCAGGATGCCACTTTCATATGTGCTGGAGCAAATTAGAGGGCATTTATTTGTGTTGAAGGATTTGAATTTATTTGACTGTAAACCGATAAACAAAACAACCTCTGGTTTCAACAGTCCCACACACCCCACGTGAGTGTCCGGTATCCTTTACGTCCTGGGGGGGGGGGGGGGGGATCTATTCAGAGGTTTCCTCCTTTGTGCTGTTATCCTGCATCTGCTTTGTTTGGATGCGCAGTCGAAGTGGCCCCCGTCCTCGTCTTCATCCACTCATCAGATTAACAGACTGGTTTGCTTTTGCGTGGCAACTCCCATGAGAACACACACGGCCTCCATGTAGCTCTAATGTGCAAGGTGAAGCTGATGGGATTACCGACTGTCACTCAGGCAATTGGTCCATTTATCAAAAGACGAGCTTTATTGATCAGCCTGGGTGCCCCTGGAGTTTGGAAATGCTGGCGCTGCTCAAGAGACTTGAACTCAATGAGGTATCTACAAGCAATAAACGTCTGCTTTTACAGGCTCTGTCTCTGCTACAGCGTTTTAATCAGCGTGTTACTGTAGACACTTTCCTGCTTGTTTCACACTTGTTCTGGCCCTGTGGTCAGTGGAGACAGCTCAGAACTTTGCAAAACTGGATTCTCTTTCCATCTTTGTCGTTTGCTTTTTTTAAAAACATAGATTAAGCAGAATGAATTGGTTTGCTGGTGATTGGTCACATGAAGTCAAAAGGATTTCGATGTGATCAGCTTGCTGTCCCACCACTTCCTGTTTGTTTGTTTTAAGTCGGAATGCTTTTAGAAAAGATAAGTCCTGCACTAGTTATTTAAAGGGCCCATATCATGAAAATCCACTTCTTGGAGCTTTTTACCAGGTGATATTGTTATTCCCTAGCCTGGCAAGCCAGACTAAATAATACATTTATTTAGTCTGGCCATGCTCCATTGACGGCTCTCGGTTGTGGGGCGGGTTCTACCGTTGTCTTTCAAATGATCTCCGCATTCCACTGGACAATGAATGTGACATACTCTTGTTTCACTCTGTTGCATCATCCCACCTACCAGGCACATAGAGTGCCCTGATTGGCCCACAAAGCAGATAAAGCTCTGTGATTTGTTCACTAAGCAGATAGAGCACTATGATTGGCCCACCATGATGGACCAATCACAGCTCTTTATGTGTTTGAAACCCCTCTAGAGAGCTGTGATTGGCTAGCCAGAGTCCTGGTAGGAGCTGCGGAGGTTCCAATGGAGCATGCCTAGACCAAACTTTGCAAAGCAAGAATTTGGTCTAGTTCACTAGGCTAGTTATTCCCCCATGTAAAAAAAAAGAAGAAAAAAAATGTTTTTGGTTGCGTTCATGAATTTTCCTGTTTCAGCTGTAAATTTTGAGTTTTACTTTGAAAATCCTGTAATGCATCAATGGAAACTAGGCTCGTCATCAGGCCTTGCTCTTCTCCCAGAAGCTAGTCTCCGGTCTGAAACCTGTCTCCCCTGGCCACTACACCGACCGTTCGGGACCGAACTCACGCCATCCAGCCTGACCAAACCCCGACCGTACCGACGCTAATGTGTAAGTGCCTTAAGTGGCTTAGGCGACTGTTGCCACATAGCAGACTTGGTAGTCCAGTAGTTAGAGTGCTGGGATGGACACCTTAACCACTGGACTGCCATAGCCAACTGACTCCCTGAAGACGCTGTTGTAGGCGTGTTCTGTCGGAGCGGGCACGGGTGGAGCTTTTCTAAAACAAACCGTTTTATTTTTAGGTATAAATAACTCGAATTTCAGATAAGATATCTCAATAGTGCCAACGGTAATATTTTATCATATATTGTGCCTACTTTTGTTCTCAGATGTTTAAATTAGCAGAAAAATGATACAGAACTTTTAAAAGGATTAAAACAACTTCCTGCCTAGATGAAACAACTTCCTGCCTAGATGGTAGTCACTGGGCTTCACGGGAAAGCTGCCGATGTTAAAAGCTGTGGTCAACCAACGAGCCTTGCAAAATGGAGAAGTGTTGATGAAAGACGGGATGACTTCAGATTGATGTCTTAATACTCTCAGGAACAAAGAGGATGTTATTTTTACAAGTTCACAAAGTTCACTCTGTTTCTGTGGGAGCTCGTCCCATTTTAATACAATAGAATAATTTGTGTTGGATAATAAACGTGGAATTCTAGATTGTGAATTTAAATGTCATGTTAGATTAAAAGTATCCTTCTTTCTCCAGAGTGACAGATGAAGTCAAACGTAAATCGTGACCCCTGGAATGTGCAATATAGTCTTTTCTAGTCACCGCTGGGGGGTTTTGGACCAGTGATGCTGCTCTTTTCTCCGTCCTTCATCAACACAACAAAGTGGGGAATGTGCTTTAGAAGAATGTAGCTCCAGGCTTTCATTGAAGGCAGAAAGTCTTAAAATAAAACCAATCCCTCGGAGAATTCCAGCTGTACTGGCAGCAGATGGAGGCCTAATGATTTACTTTGGTGCTCCGTTGGGGTTTTTCTTTCATTTGTCACCAGTCTGTGTACCTGGTGTTTTCAAACTGCCTGTGTTGTTGTGTTACTGTGGATCCTCGATTTCTGTGTTTTACAATTATAGATGATAGGAAGGCATGTTACTTATTAATAATCTAGTGGCTGACCTATTGATCACTCAGTTTTTATTAGCAATAAAATAAGATTTATGGGAGATAATTTGAATCAGGGCAGCGCAGTGGTGCAGTGGTTAGAGCTGTTGCCTTGCAGAGAGAAGGTCCTGGGTTCGCTTCCTGGCCTGGGATCTTTCTGCATGGAGTTTGCATGTTCTCCCTGTGCATGCGTGGGTTCTCTCCGGGTACTCCGCCTTCCTCCCACAGTCCAAAAACATGACTGTTAGGTTAATTGGTCTGTCTAAATTGTCCTCAGGTGTGAGTGAGTGTGTGTGTGCATGATTGTTTGTCCTGTGTGACTCTGTGTTGCCCTGCGATGGACTGGCTTTCTGTCCAGGGTGTACCCCGCCTGATTGCCCGTTGACCGCTGGAGATGCCCCCCCCCCGCGACCTTGAGTGGACAAAGTGGGTTCAGAAAATGGATGGATGGATAATTTGAATCAGATGGCATGACTCGCTCACAGGGATCTATTATTTAAAATTTTCTGCCTTTCACACAAGGCTCGAATGGAATTAATGTTATTTTTCTATAGTAAAGCAGCCATAGTTTCAAAGTGTGACTCAACTTAACTCTTGATCTCTTGAAACCAAGTTGTAGTTTGCGATAATAATCATGTGTGAGAAGACTAAGGCTTTACGTATTTACTCACCACATCGATGAGATCTAGGCCTGAGGTTTCTCTTAGCAATTTCCTGCTTGCCCAAAAAGTGTTTTTGCTCAGCAGCACTATTAACCTGCATTGCATCAGGAGATGTTCCAACCCTAAACACCATCGCAGCACACGCTAACGTGTGTAAAGGTGAGATGGGAGGAACCGTGTGTTTACGGTCATGGCTGTTGAATCGATCCTTCAGTACTAAAGCAGAAAGTGTTATACAGTAAAATGGTTCTTCCTTCTCCATCATCTGATTTCCAGGAAAAATGCTGACAAATGTTGTTTTGCAGTGCAAAACAAAGGTCACAGGGTCGGTGTGAGCTGTTCTGGCAGCGGCCCTCAGCTGGCGCCGCCTTAAAGTCTAAAAGTCAGTGTTTGCCTCCGTGCTCGTGCAGACCTCCAGCCTGCTGTCGAGCCTGTGCTGACACCGTCTCCCATAACTCCACCTTAGTTTGTTTAAGGAGCTGAAGGATTGTTTGACTACAGCTTAGTTAATCCTGCTCAGACACTTGTTTTTTTTTTTTTGCAATTGCAAAAATGGTCACAGATGGTGAACACGATGCTTTTCTGCAGCTTTACTCTGGAATAATCACAGTAGCAGAGCTGTTTTTGTCTTAGCAACCTTTGTAACCATCAAGATTTTTTGTAAGATTAGATCTCGTTCAGCTGTGTGTGTGTGTGTGTGTGTGTGTGTGTGTGTGTGTGTGTGCTCCTTTAAAAAGCTGTCGCTAAGTTCTTACCCCCTTTTAATTCTCCAACTTAATTTTTCCAGTCTGATAACTGCAGAGTCTGTTATGCGAACTGGCTGATGTGTGTCGACAAATGAAAGGGGTCTGCAAATTCAACAATTACATTGTTTTTTGGTCCCAGTCGTTGCTCTGAGACCCCCATGGTGGACTGTGGTGATTCAACCCCCCACATGAGGGATTCTGTTGTAAATTTAGGTGCGAAGATTGTCAACGACTTGGTCACATAAATGGTGTTGTAGCATCTTCCTGTTATCATCTAAGATGCTTGGCTAAGGTTAAACCGTTCTTGTCTAGACGTGATCGGGAAACAGTTGTGTGTGCATTCATAACTTCGCGCCTGGACCACTGCAACTCTGTCCTTATCGGAGTGAGTCGGAGTGCCTTAGGTCGTCTGCAGCTTGTCCAGAATGCTGCCGTGAGATGGCAGGCGAAAGTTTGATCATGCTACACCGATGTTGGCAGATCTACCAGTCTATTTTACGATTCGTTTTAAAGTTATTTTATTGGCTTTTGGAGCTCTTAATGGATTGGCTCCAGCATATTTGGCAGACATGCTGCAGCTGTGTGTTCCCTCTCGGGCACTCCGTTCAGAAGTCCTGTCCTTGCTTGTGGTCCCCAGGTCACGGCTGAAGATGCGTGGTGACCGAGCTCCAAAACTCTACATATTCGGTAGTCCTATTCTGTAGCAGTTTTTAAATCTCAGCTGAAGACTGGAACTGGCCAGTCAGCATGCAACTGATTCATTCATGTCATGGCCGAGTGGGCGGCAAATGATTTTATTTTAGGACCTTATTATGGGGTTGTGTTTGGCCTTTTTTCATGGCTCCTTGGTCACTGTGAGCCCCAACACAGTTGCGTATGCTGAACAGAGGCTCAAAGAACAGTTTCCATTCTAGGAGACCTTCAGGAAACACAAGCTTAGGCATTTTGTTTTTAGATGCTAACATTTTCTTTGAAAATCTGCGTATTTTCGAGGAATTTCCATCCCTGCTTGTGTTTGAGTTTCTCAGACTGATGTGTGTTTTTCCCCTTGACTGAGACAACTTGTAGCTTTGGTCGAGCCGGTGTGGAGTGCTACTGCCAGCACGAGAGTGGCGCTGCTGTCATCCAGCTCCAGTTCCTCATCAACGAGGTGCGTTTTCTTCTCCTCGTATTCTTGTTTGCGTTTCTCTCCTTTATATTCTCTTTTTCTGCATCTCCACATCTGGGTTTTTGCCAGCAGTTAATGTAAACATCGGTGCATCCTTCTCATGCCTTAAATGCCATAAATCTTAATCCAGTGATGTTTTCGAAGCAGTAACAACCTCTGTGTTTATTGTTCTCCCCACAGGGGGCGCTGGTGAGTGCCTTGACTGATGACAGCATCCATCTGTGGAACCTGAGGCAAAAAATCCCAGCTATCCTTCATTCTCTCAAGTTTAACCGGGAGAGGTGTGTTTGACTTTGATGCATCCGCCTCTCTCTAATGTATGAACAACATCTGGAAGCTGCAGCCGCTGCTGCCCACCTGTTTCACTGTGGTCAATGGCATGGATTGTAACTGGAATTCTGTTGTGCCATTGCAGTTTTGATTTTTTTTTTTTTCATCCTGATTAATCTCCCAAGACGCTTGGAGGGCATATGTTCAGGGACATTGGATCAGACTGCATATGTGTTAATATTTAGCTGATTTCCCTCAGACCTGTTATTACTCGGAAATGTCTATTTACATATTTTAAACTATTTAATACACAATATATTATTTGATATTTTAGTTTGTTTAGTTTTTTTAGGCAAATTTATACAATCTAAGTTCTTAAAAGTTGAAACATGTTTAGCCTCAGTTCTGCTTTTCTGCCCTTTTGTGTAATATTTCAAATATTTTAGGTAAATAATTTGCAGCATAAAAAAAGACAAGTCCAATATCAGTCCTACAAAGACAAAGAGGCCTTTTCTCCAGATGACGGGTGCTAAAACAAAGCTGGAGTTTGTTAGCACCAACAAACTGAAGCCATCCCACCACCAACTCTGTTGGACCGGAGCAAAGAACAGCATTGGTCAGGACCCAGAGGCAGGAATGAGGAGGCCTTTAGCTAATGAAAATGTTTTGAGTTGCATATTTAAAATCACTAGAGTACATTCACTTTTACTATTTAATTTAAAACAAAACAATCTGCTTTAATGTAGATTCAAATGAGCAGAATAATACCAGTTCGTCTCATTTCTTCCTGCTGTTTGAGTATTTTCAATCACTGGCCGTCCAGACCTAGAAAATAAACAATTAACAGATTATATTTTTGCACTTTTTATTAATTTAATACAATACGGGTTATAATATAGTATGATATAAAAACATGAAATTATATTATTAATATTAAGGAACAATTGAGCTGACAGTCTAGTTCCAGCACGTTTCCTGCATGTTTTAGATGATGAACACAGCTGATTTGTTTAATTTAGCGATGAATCACTGCTGTAGACACTAATGAATGCTGAGGAGGCATTTCAGCTGTTAGATTAAGGCGTTAAAAAGAAGAAACACACAGCGAGGAGATAGGTTTTACTGTCAGTTCTACAAACGGACACTAGGGGGTGCTAAAAGCAGGCCAAAACAGGCAAGTCTCCCTTTAAAAGATTTGCACATTTTAGTTAAAAAAAAGTGTAATCATTTTTTTTTGTCTTTTTAAGGTAATTGCTGATTCCAATAAAACATAAGGACTAAAATACCTCCCAGGTTAAGAGTTTAAGCGAGTCAGAACACCTCTTCGAGCTGAATTCATAAACACTGTGTGAAAACCCGATTACTAGCATAGTTGACACGTGCTCATTACTGTGTGTGACTCCCAATTTGTAGCATCATTTCTGAATACACAGAAGATTATTGAAGAGTTTACCAAAGCTGACTGTTGTTTAAAACATTGTTTATAAGTTAGATGGTACCTAGAGAGGAAGTGCACTTCACTGTCTCCCTGCACGCCGATACAGAAACTCAGAGGGAAGGTCAGTGATGTGGCCCTGAATTGGCTCTCCTGCTGTGGAAAACCTTTGGTGGAAAAATCATGCTAGTGTGGTTTAACCAAAGGTTCCCAAATCCCCTTTGGCATCTTTTTCTTCCCCTGAGTCCGTTTCATTTCTGAGATGGATAACTCAAATGTTTTAAATACATCTGTGAGATGTGTTAACTACTCGCCCAAGTAGAAAAGGTTTACCATCTCGATCCTAACCCCGAGTGTAGTCGTAGCAGTGCTAATTCTCCCGTAGGACTGTGCCTAGTGTCTGGGTACTGTTGTTATATAGGAAAATGCAGAGATGCTCTAAAAGACCATTGGTTCTGTATGTGGTGAAGCATCTAATTATCGTTCTGAAATCTAGTTTATTTTCTCACATTTGTAGTTTTTAAAATCCCATTAGACATCAGCAGAAACATCTTAAATGCATAGACAGCCAGTCAAAACCATCACCACCATCAGTAAACTATAAATGTGATGTACGACGTGGCGGAGGAAACACATCAGCGCTTATTCTGCTCTTCCTCCCCACTGAGTTATAAATAGTCTGGCTTCATTAGTGTGACAAAGTGCAAGGCCTTTGTAATTAAATCCCCGTCATTCAGTGCTCCCTCCAGTTGGACCATCATGATTAGGGACAAGCGGGGGCCCTTTGATGGGCCTAAGTCACGAGATAATGAAAAGCCTGATGGTGATGCATCCTGATCTCTTGCAGAATCACATACTGCCACCTGCCCTTCCAGAGCAAATGGCTGTACATCGGCTCAGAGCGAGGAAACATCCACATCGTCAACGTGGAGTCCTTCACCCTCTCAGGCTACGTCATCATGTGGAACAAAGCCATCGAATTGTGAGTCTGTATTTTACAGCTTTTCCTCTCCTTCTGCCTTTCATCGCTGCTCATTTGCATATCTGCTGTGTGCAGTTGTGCAGCAGACACTCTACCAGGAAACTGAAAACGCACAGGAATGCGAATGCCCGGGTGTTTTTTGATATTGTGTCCTGAAAGCTGATAACCCTGCAGCTCTGATCGGCGTGAAGGCAACATGGAGGTGGTGATTGTGCCACGCCGGGAGGGTGTTCTGGAGCCGTTTGCTGCTTGATTTAACGGAGCTGCTCGGACAGAAAGTTCTC